AGATGCAGGCCGTCTTGCCACGTCTGTCGTCTGGCTCAATGCCCTGCAGCGGCTAGGCGTCGGCGTGAGATATCGCCATTCGCGGTAAAAGAGGTGGTCATCGCCTGCGCCATAGGTACAGTCATCCAGTGGTTATGTCTGAATAATCAGGCGTCTGGAAGCACCAAGATGCTCCCATGCCTTTCGGCGCTGGTGGCGGACAAGCCTCGCGTTGTTGGGCCATTCCAGTTGCACGGCGGCCTTACAACTATGCCAGACCAGAAGGCCCAAAAGTTTGACTGCCTGCAGTCGGTCGGTGGTGGGCAAACCCGGCACACAGCCAGTTTGACGGTGCAGACAGCATCGAAAGGCCGGCCTGCCTGTGTGCACTAGCATCGCTAGAGTGCCTCAGCAGCGCAACATGACAGCCTGTCACGCAGCCAAGTGCCACATAGCAGCGCCTCGTCAGGCTAGACAATGGCAACCGGAAAACTTTTCCCTTGTTCCTTTGCCATGGCCTAATCAACCGCTTCGTCGGCTTTTGAATACCAGCACGCTCCTGTTGCCGGGACATGTCCGTTTTTCATTTGCCATCGGCTCCGACCAACGAGCGATCCGGTGCCGGACGAGTTGATGGCAACCAAGACGACGACGAACAACTGCAAGCTGCAGCTCCTTTGCCACCCAGCTGACGCCAATAACATTTTGTGTGCAGTAGTAGTACTAATTTCATTGTATGTACTTGTATGTTGGTCTTGGCGCGGCTGGCCACTTGAACAGCAAAGAGGACGGCAAACGACCAGGCTAACAGGGTAACCCCCTGTAGAGTGTGGGATGACACGTTCGATTAGATACCAGTAGTGGGTGAGGTTAATGCTACTCCGTCCATATCCTATAATTATTCGTCGAGGCATCTTGTTTGTCGTCTTTACCTGGCGGCACAGATCTTGGGGTATCGAGACAAGGATGTAACGCTGGCCTGGGCAGTGGTAGTTGTAGTCTCATTTCGAATTGGTTGTCTCCCGCTCTTGGTCACTGGCGCGAGTAGACTATAGAATGATCGAACCGAGGTAGGGAAGGAGAAGGAGATGAAAGAAATGAAGCGGACGAAAAGAGCTGTTCCGGATTGAGCCTGTCCGCAGATCATCTATCAGAGAGTCAGAGTGCATATTATCACCTATCGAACAGAGGCCAACGCACCCACGGGCTGTCCGTTGTCGGAACTCGACTCACACCTACATACACCACTCCGTAACCTTCCACTCGCTCCGTTTGCTCAATTGGAGAGTCGGCGGCAACTTGGGCGACAACACATACTGTACGGAGTACAGTACAGCACAGCACGGCGGCTGCTTGTTCTGCTTGCCTAGACGAGACATGCTCCAGGGGTCGCCGCCAATTGGATGGCGCCCCTGGGGCTGGAGAAGACCCCTGTTCCCCGACGCCGCACCAGGCAGCTGGTACCCCAACCCCTTTAGGTACGAGTACAAAAGGGCCACCACGCGCTAATGGAGCGAAGACAAGGGGAAAAGAGGGCGATAATAGCGAGAAACGGACGGCAGTTTCAAAACGGTTGGAAAGACGAGGAGTCGTCTTCATTTCTTTCATCTTCATCCGGTCACCCATGGGACCATTGAATGTCGTCATCCCAAGATGGCCAGGATTGCGCAGATGGTGGACTCAAAGATCCGTGCGTTGCTTGGCTTTGTGCAGTACGCTGCCTAGGAGAATCCGTGGAAAGAGTCAGAGACAGCAACAAAGAAGTAAGCAGATGGGTGGTACGAGGAACAGTGCAAGGACAGGACAGAAGATGGATTCGGGTGGAAAAGGAGCGGAAAAGCCAAAGGAAATTGATACTCGGCCTTAGCACGCTTAGCTAGCACTGCGACCCAGGAGTTGGTGGGAGGTCATCGGCGACGCATGCGGTGTTGGGTTAGCCGGTGGCCTCGCAAGTCGCGGCTCGAGAGCGACGGAGGTGACAAAGGGGGTGGGCATCGCATCGCCAAAGAGGAAATGGAAACGAGGTGAGAGTCGGTCGCTGGCCGCTCACCTCCGTTCCGTTGCCTCTGCCTCCCACCTCCCCGTTGCCTCCTCCGTTCCCACGCAGCTCGCAATAATGCAGTCCGTCTGCGCTACTGCGCGAAAGTGGCAGTGGGAAAGTGACAGGTGCTTTTCCATACAACCACACACATTGGCCAGCTCTGTCGGCGACACTGTGCAGGAGGTGCATGCTAAGCGTTGGAAGAGGTAAGATTTTCAAGGCCCGACATGGTAGTGCTCGTGGTTAGTCTCACTGTGTGGTCTCGCGGCGGATCTCGAGCCTTTCCGCACTGTGCTAGCCTAGGGTCAGCCAGCCAGCCAGCCAGCCATGGAGATGGAGCACCTCAACCACGCGCCCATTGACTGATTCATTACGGTCGCCCCTGATGACCTTCATTTAGCACGGGCCGCATCCTCGCGCACAGTCTAAAACGGAGCAGAGACCCTTGAACCCGGCCCAAGCCCCCCCCACCGAGATGGCGTGGCCTCCTTCTCGAAATCCCCCGAATTCAGGCACACGAGATTCATCACCTCGCTAGGGGCGATGCGGCGACGCTTCCACCGTTGGTTCTCCCAAGACCCCGGATATGATACATGGGGCAGTACAAAGCAGGCCTGCCCAACGGCAGAATGGCCCGACTCGAGCCCGCGTATTCTGCTTTCGTTGGCCCTTTCGACGCTCAGAAGGCGAGGCATCGACGTGCTCGTACATCGTGTCTCGTCTTGCTCTATCTCTGTCCGAGCGAAGGATGATACTTGAAGTATTACTAGTATTGCTTCATCCGCCAGCTGGCCGTGTCACCCAGCCGCACTGCAGCGAGGCTCAACTCCCACCGCGACTGGAACTCTGTCCGCCGTGCCGCTCCATCTCGGGCTTCACCGACGCCAGGACGAAGCCAAAGTACCAAGTACTGCTACCGCGCGGCTTCCGCCCTCTTCTGCCGCTGCCGCAAGTACATACTACTACTACTACCACTACAGCGACAGCTTGAAACGCACCAGCAATGCACTTATTAGCAGAAGACACCCGCCATCATCTTCCACCTTCAATTTTATGTCAATGGACGACCCATCTCGCTCTCGTGCTTGTGCATGCTTGTACGAGTACGAGTGTGCCTTAGAATCTCAACACCATCACGACATCCCTCTAATGCAGACCCGCCAACCTATTGACGGCTGGCTGCCCTTTTCCCCCACTCTTCTGCTCTGCTGACCTCGCCTTGCCTTACACTTGCAGACACAAGACATTCCCCTCACAAGGAGATGGAGAAGAAAAGGGATCAAGGAAACAAACCGACGATGAAGGCACACGGCAACCAGAGGTATTGCAGGTTGTACAAGTCACTACCAGAGTGGCTCCCAACTGGAGTGTTGGAAACTCACGCAAGCTCCCTTGCCGTCGACTCGCCAGATTGACCTCAGATCTGGATGGATAAGATGACTTCATCGACAACTTGGAGTGCCGAGATTGGTACTCGTACCCGCACTGCCGAGTGGTCCGCGCCGCCCGACGATGTACAGCTACCTGGCGCCCTGCTGGAGCTCGTCTTCAAGTTGTCGTTGCTCCTTGGCTCCGTACAGACGCATTGCAGAGGGTCCCAGACATTTTACTATCGGCCCTTGTTGACTCAGGCACGCCTCGGCAGCCAGACAACACGCGCAGTCCTTGGCTGTCCTCGTCTCGACCTGTCTGATTACCATGAGTCTGAGTCGACTCCAATGTCTCGTCCGGCTCCCCTTGGACGGCCGTCATCGTGCATACACACACGGACGTGCTTGGACTAACTGCCATCCATCGTCGAGTACATACAGTACGGCTCGACAAGACAGGCCGGTCTGGCTACCGCCCTGGACGAGGGGATCATGCACTGCTGGTGCTGATGCTGGTGCTGGTGGTGGTGCTGCAGCCGCCGCTACTGAACTGATTGTTGCAGACATTTCGAGTCGAGTCGGCCACCCTGCTTGAAATTACTTGTGCGCACGAACGCACCAAAGCACAAACTCCCGTCGCTGCGGAGGAAAAGCTGCGAATAAGGCAGCCGTGCACCACGAGAAGCGCGGCTGGGCGCGGGTGCAGATGGGATGGACAAACGGGCGAGGCTACTGTAGTCTCATGTCCACTCAAGGGTCACGGGGGCGTTGTCAGACTGCCACGGCCCTGTTGGGCTGTTTTGGTTGACCCCATCCAAGCACATGTCTGGCCGGCGCTGCACCGCTCGTGGCCCGTGGCTGCTGTTATTCGTGGCCTCGGATAGCTAGCCAGCATGAGAGGCGAATGATGATGAGTCGGCACGGCTGCTCGACCGGCATTGTGGACGAGTGCTCCCTTCTCGTCCGCTCCTTCTCCACTCACTCTCGATGCACCACCACGCGCCGTGCAACACCAAAAAGCTGCGGGCTAGAGATAGCGCCCAAGCCGTGGTCGCATTTCCTGCCCGTTAACGTCTTTTTCTGTGTGCTCAGCAGCAAGCAGAGTCCGTCCTGGGATGCACCACACCCAAAGAGCTCTGTCTGGCAGTCCCGTGATGCCGAGATGCAATGGCACTGGACGAACCAGGAAAGAGCATGCTCCCCGGCTGCGGGTTGTTTCAACGTCATTCATCTCCATCTGACGGACTCGGATTTGAATGAAAGGGTGACTCAAAGAAAGGCGATGGCAATAATCCACATCAACGACGGCCCTCGAAAGCCACCAGCATTGTACGTCCAGGACAATCGATTTCACAGGGCGCTTCTGCAGGCTCAATAACGGCAAATCGTTCTGTCAGCTGAGCCCAGGTACAGCACATGCTAAGAATGATGGAGACGAAAAGGGCGTCTGCTGGATGCCAATGTCAGCAACCCGACACGGACAGCCGGGAGCGAGTATCAACAGAGCCATCATTGCGACGATGCCGGGGAACCCAAGGGAAATAGACGCATCTGCCGTCGGCCGTAAGTCTGTGCCAATGGGCGCCGGTGGTCCGCGATTGTGCGTACGTTCTCTGTGTAACGACCACAAAATCGATGGCGAGCCGAAGCCGTCTTCAGCAACCGTTATGGAGTCGGCATCGGGAAGAGCACCATGGCCAGCGAGCCAATTACTCGCCCTCTGCCGCTGCATCGGGCCCAAAGGGGCAATCCTGTCGCCGTATTTAGCTTCTGCATCGTCGGCTTCTGTTTGTTGCCTGCGCGGATGTGTTTGTGCTACGCGAGCATGTCACCATACTTGTCTCAAGTTCAGCCTTCTGTAGGAGTCTGCAGCCATGCTCTGCTATTGGCCAGGAACATTCTGAGGCAGTGTCTTACGCTCCCTGCCTTGATCTGACATTTGAGGAGAGCGCATGGCAGAGGTGACATACTACTACTACTACTCCTCCTTCAATGGTTTATCCGGCTCAGGGATCTGATTTGATGATGGCCCTTCCATTGTGCCTCTTCAATGCCGGTCATCTCTGTTATTGACTCTTACATACATCTCGACGAACAGGCAACATCACACTACCTACCCATTTACTGAATTTTAACGTGTAAGTTTTTGGAAACCAACGGCAAACTCACAGTCCAACGTGATCCTCGACCACACTCTGCACACACATCCCCATCTGGGGAAGTGCGGCGAGAGGGTGGCAGCACGTCACCTCCTCCTCCTGTCCGTCACCCGAAAGGGCGCCATTCCATTTCCCGGAATCTTTGCTACCCGCACTTTGATGAACGCGGTTCAAAGGTCACAGCAGCCCCTGGGGCGCCACGGGGGCTTGTTTGACGGCGAACGACTTTCGACTCGGGAGGGTTGGCTGGCACCTGGACCTTGACGCCACCGTCCTACAAACGCATGCCGAGGACCGTGATTTAAATTAGCAACGCCGGTACAAAGTATGGACAGTGTGAGGAGTGACTCGAACTCGTTTTTCAAAGTCAGCATACCAAATATGCAGGGTGGACGCCGTGGCTGCGGCTTTCCGTCGTTTCCAGTCCGGACGGACACACTGTCATGACTTGGTGGCTGCATATTTTCTCGCAGTGCCTCTCACGCCATTGAGTGGTGAATCGACCTCGACCATGACTCGACGCTACTAGAAGCTTCACGATAGAAGGCTTGGACATGAGGGAAGATGAGAAAAAATCATCAGTGGCGCTTTAGTTTTCCTCTATTTCATTCTGGAACATTTCCATGTGGGAGTGGATCTGCGTGCCGCCCTCGCTTCAATTGAAGACGGGCTTTCCCCTGATATCGACGGGACATACTCCGTACAGTGCACGAAGCACGTCGATTGACCGCGCAATAAGCAATCAAGGGATGCTTTGGCATGACATCTCCGCCAGCAGTTGTTGTAAGGAGCGTTTGCTTCTGTAAGGGGTACAACACATTCTCCGTCACTACTACTAGATCACAGTAGTTTGCACGCATCAATCATTGCTTACTTCTCCCCTGGATACTAGTACTACTATGAACGACATCCCTTGAACCCCCCCTTCGAAATGGCCAGAGTTGGTATGGAAACGAAATCAACAAGCGTGCCGATCATCACAGCATGTCCGTTCTATCGCCATTGATATGCAGAGACGGACAGACTTTTATTTCGGTACGATGCGGGAGTGCCTGGATTTGCCACTGGAGCCACATCTTGGCCATGAGTCCGGCACTGGGAATGCTGATCGTTATTCTCCTTGGGACGGGCAACTGTTGATATTCGAAACATCCGTTGGAGTTTGATAATATCGTCAGGTACGAGTACGTAGAGGATATGTTGAGCATACGGAGGATATCAATTCGGCTGCGTAGGTAGTGATGCTGATCAATGGCATTACTTCGTAGACTCTCGACTCATTTTAGCTTAGCAGCCATCTGCTTCTCCGCCGCCACAGATCCTGTCTTTTATTGAACGAGCTGGAAGACGTTGCGGCACTCTGTATTCCATGTTTGCTTACCCCCAAACCATATCCGTCTGCAAGTCTGTTCTCCGTCTCATCGAATTGGACTGCTTCGGGCCCAGAGCAACGTCCCTGCGTCTCGAACAGACACGAGGGCATACTAATACCAACATTTAGCCTACCAAAGAGAAATAGTCTCTGCCTCTCCGCTACAAGGGGGCCGAAAACGCCGGAAAGCATGGATAGGGAATTTCGGGTCATCGTCCCTTTTCCCCTTGTTAATCGATGAAAGTCAGCACTTGGTGGGAAGTGACGATAACAGGTTGGTGGGCAATGACCTGCATGCACGTTCCTGGATGGGGGGTTCCTTGACTCTCTCCACTTTGTTTTCGTTTTCCACTTCCCCTGTTTTTGTTTCCTTTTTTCTATGGAAGATATTACGAATTGCTTCTCTTTCTGCTTGGGGCACAAGACGGAATTTGGGCTTTGCCTTGCCAGTAGGTATGTACATAGGTAAGGAAAGGTCAGGTGTGGTATAGTTGATGCATCGATATGGTGCCAAGGTGAGTGTTCGGTAAGGTTGCAGGTGTAGTACTACTAGTTGAGGAGGTATTACTACTCATGCACCAACTGCTCAGACGATCAACCCATCTAAGAAAAAAGGGAATCCAAAGAAGGAACCAAGACAAAACATACAAAGTATCATATGCTTTGAGAAGAGAAAAGAGCCTCCGCCAAGAAACCGCTTCCTAATTCCCGTTCTCGAACAAAAAGGACGAGGGAAAAAGAAGAAGAAGAACAAAGAGTCAAGGACCAGCCCTCTTGCGAACCCTCGTCCCCGGATTGGGTCCCACCGCTCTTCGGGCTCAGCGGCGCGCTCAAAAACGCCCCCGTGCCTGGATTTCTCATGCAAGTGAAAAGCGACCGAATTTGAAAAAGCTGGGAGCCGCTTTTTGCTTCTGCCTACATACATGTACATACAGTACGGAGAAATAACCCAAGGTGGTAGCCCGAGAAACGCCAGCGAGGGCGGTGGAGTTGTGAGCGAGAAGGAGTCGAACAACTCACCTCTTTTCCATGGCTGCATATACGGGGTAAGGAGGGAGAGAGAGAGAGAGAGAAGTTGGGAGAGGTTCTTGTGCTCGATTTGGGGTTTTGATCTTCACGCAGATTTTTGGAGCTCTGGCCCGCGTATGGAGTACTGCTATATGGGCTGAGAGATGTCGACCGTTACAAGGCTTTGGATTTCCAGCTGAGTTACTAGCTGCTCATGCCATGAAGATGGACCTTGGCTTCGTCTGTCGTCGAACTTCCTTTTCTGCGCAAGGGGGGGGCCCTACCGAACTGACTTACTACTCAACAGCGCTTACTTTAGGTATTCATGGGGGCCCCCGGGCTGCTTCGCGGCTACTGCTTAGGCACTTGATTAGTTCAAGGTTTTCCAATGGCCCAGCAGTACTAGTAGTACTACCAGTATATCGAGGGGAGGGATCTCGGAAATTGACCTTCTGGAAGTGTTCCGTGGGGAGAGGGTGCCTTATTACTCGTACTCCGTGGAAGAACGTTTTACTACTTGTACAAGTGGACAGGGATGTGTGTGCGTATGTGTGTTGCTTAGAGGCCCTGATGCTTGGCCATGTCAACTGACGTCAAGGGGCGGTGTGTTGTCGGTGAGGCTGCAAGGTATAGGGATTCAGTCGAGACACTTTAGATGATACAAGCGACGAAATCGAGGCTTCGGATGCTGCCCGCTCTTAGTGCTTTTACGTTATCAATGCCCTTTCCTGCTGCTGCTAAAGGTAAGGCGGAGTATAGTAGTAGCGCCAACGATGATGTGTTTTGGACGGCTGGCAATGTTACCATCGACGAGATAAGAGTTGTGCGATGTTGGGGCAATCGTCAAGGCGGTAAGAGCTGAGCTAGGAATCGTGCGCATGGCTGATGACCCCAGGTGATATAGCTCTCGTCTGGGGTGCTGCAAAGTAAGTCATTAGTACATAGTCTCAAGTTGTTGTGATTGGCCTCTTTTTCCACCTCTTCTTCTGCTGTTCTCTAGGAAAGTCGCTACGGCTGAAGAAGTACAATATAATTGAGCGAGCTGACGGTGAAGGCAGAGAGTGATGTGATGCATTGCGTGCTACATCACGATGGCTCGTGATGACCGGATATGCGTAGCCACCAATGACAACGTGAAGCAACTGGCAACACTGGATCAGAACTCAGAGGCTGCGCTGAGTCAAAAGCTTCGAGAACATCAAGGTGAGGAACATTCAGAACTCTCGGTTCATGGCCAAACTTCAATTGGGAAGTGGCAACTGCGTAAGGGTGTTTTCCTAAATTAACACATGCCTGATGAAAGAGAACATCCATCCCCTGGTGTGTTAGCTGTGGAGGCTGGACTCTTTCGCTTTTCTATTGGAATTCTTGATGTCTTGCGCCATTGCTCCCGTATTCGCGCCGCGATAGACCAAGTTGGGGGTATAGTCTCGGTAATATGACGACGCATCACGACCATCCAGGCCCGGGGGCTAGAGGGGATGCGGTGCATCTGAATCGCCGGTCTAGCGTCGCGCCGTGACGGTCGTCGTCCTTGGTTTGTATCGTTCCTCCTTCCCGAACACTCTTCTTCATCGGAGTTGGTGCTGCCGCATGTCTACGAAATGGTGTAATAACGAAGAAACCCCTCTTCTTCAACGAGCCTCATAACAACGCCCAAACTCCCAAGGCAGCAAATGCATGATATTATTCCCAAGGTCGACTCGGGGTTTTCTTTTCGATACTCTTGAGGTGCATAGGCGTCTTAGCTGAGCAGCATGGAAACCTATCTCTCTGTCAGAAACTCTGGTAACCCACGTAACATATAGAAGTAAAAAGGAGCTTCGGGGGTCCAAACGTACAGCCATGATGACACAGCATATGCTGATGTACGGACTCAGTCGTTCTCCTATCCTCGCGCACTTCCAGAAGATGCCCATGACACTTTGACATGCTTCATTAGCTTTCAGTACAGCAGCGGTGATGCAATATGCCATACCCGTTCTTGTTCCGGTCCATGATGCCGGGCGTGAAGTGGTGGACATATGTGCTCGTGCAGATTAACAGCAGGATGACGAGCAGGAGGGACTTGAAGTTGAAGAGCGCAGACTAGAACACCAACAAGACGTCAGCAATCGCAATCTCGTTTCTGTTACGAAGCTTCAAAATCCGCGTCATAGACAACTAGAAAACTTACCATGTTGACGACCCAGAACTACGGCCGCTCAAAGGTAAACGATTGCTGTTATTACGGCCACGAGAAGCTTGTCGCAAATGCTTGGTATCGCGGTCTCGTCATCATCAAGCTTCGGAAGGGGCCAGATGTGGGATAGGAGGAAAGATTCGCCGGTCCGAACCTTTGCTTTGGCACGCGCGAGAGACCCACATCAGCTGGCAATGACATGCATCTTTCCCCACCAACCAGAAGTTGCGATTTCAATCTGTGAAAGTGTGAATGCGCAAGCCTTCATCTTGACTCCTCTGCCTGGCTGCAACTTTCATCTCTTTCGCGACATGCTCGGTTGAGTTACCACAATCCTTACGAAACCTTGAAACATCGAATATATTGTGCGATATACGCGATACCACATCAACAAAAGTCGACAGCCGCGGGCAAAAGCAGTTCAAGATGGAGCCTCGCGCGCGTGCCGGCAAGAATGTCGGCAAAATGAACTTTTCCCACGCCGAACGTACGCATTCATCCTTACAAAAGAGTTGTCAGGGGACCTCATGTATATATATATATATATATATCCTAACACTTGTATTTATACAGTGGCTCAGCTCCTCTACGCCCACGGCGACATCAAAAACCCCATGCCCGAGACCGTCCGCGTGCTCGACGAGATCCTCACCGACTTCATGCAGTCCATCGCCTTCGAGGCGAACCGCGCGGCCAACTACTCGGGCCGCCAGAAGATCAAGTACGAGGACTTTGAGTTTGCGTTCCGCAAGAACCCGTCCTTCCTGGGCAAGGTCCAGGAGGTCTTTGAGAAGCAAAAGGAGATCAAGAAGGCCAGGGAGATCCTTAGGGACGGGGAGGACGAGATCATGAGGGACGCGGCGGAGGAGGAGAAGAGGAAGGAGAAGGAGAAGGCGGGGCCGACGACGACAAATGCGGCGGCGGGAGCGAACTTGGCGACGGCGTCCAAGGCGAGTAGGGTGGAGGAGGAGTTGGGGGAGGCGGATGATGATGCTGAGGCAGAGGCTGATGCGTTGGGGAAGAGGAGGTGATGAGGACTTCTCGCAGGAAGGGAACAGACTGCTGTCACCAGTACTTGTTTATTTGGTCTCGCAAAGCATTGCTCTGGCGTTTAGGAAAGCATGGGCTGGCGTTTTTGGGGGTTGGCAAGGCTAGGAATTTGGGCAACACTGTGCCAAGGGTTTCGCACATGTTCTTCTTATCGCTTTAACACGGTCTTCATCAATATATAACTAGATGTCATCACTTCCACTGTCTTCATGTACAAAGTATTACCAGATGCCGGTAATCAGCAACATCCATTTCACGATGCTTCACAGCCCTCGCGTTCCATTGGTAGCGTTGGTAGCGGCCTGCTTGGTGCTCTTCAGCTACGGCTGAACGGCCTGTATCTACCCCGTGGCCCTCGCATATGATCTATCACGCCGCTACTGCTCGTGGTCGACCCGTGCGGGGTTCGGCTCTGGAAGCCTAGAAGCCGCCGAGCTGGATACATGCTTGTTATCTACTAAGGTACGCTATCAGAATCCTACGGCTTCTTTCATCGCGAACAAGTTCACAGAAAACCTCGGGGTGTTCCGTTTTGCCGCCTTGGGGGAATAGAGCGGGAACAGATCAGCGACCGATATCCGCTCGATACCACCCACACCATCTCGCCGGGCCCGGTCTAACGATAGCGATATCGGGTTGCCGCGATGAAGATTCTAGTAGCAGTCAGAACTGTCCAAGACGGTTCGCGCTTACAAGTCGTAGTACAGTCGTTGCATCTTTAGCCCGCGCTTTTGCATGGAGGATGCAACCGGTTCCGTAAGCCGTTGCCGCTGGCCGCTCAAGCACCTCATCGGCGATGGGGGCGAAGCAAAGGCGGCCAGAAAAGAGTGACGAGGTATAATATCATCACCAGGTCCACTTCCCCAGAGGCCAATAGGGTGTCGTGGGGAGGAGGCCCGCCAAGCTGAGGAGGTGCAGTTCCTGCTGCTGATGGTGTCGAGGGGAGACGGTCACCAGGCAGATCTTTTCTTACTCAGGCCGGTATCGTAGACAAGAGTTCTTCCTGTAACCGCACAATCATTTCTGAGGTCGTCCAAAGGCCTGTGAATCTCGAGTGTCTTTGGTGCTTGCTTTGCTCGTGCTGCTTCGTGCCTAGTTACCGCCATCAAGCTTTGTTGAACCATATGCAACTTCATCCTCTCGTATTATACTGCAGGTGTCTCGAGAGAGCAAGCCATGGAGGTCAGCCAAAGACTTCCGTCTCCGCCAGCCGCGGCGGACATGGAGCTGCACCTCTCGCGACACAAGAGCCATCCGGACGAGACGGACGACTTCCTGGCTGCGCCGAATAGAACACTGAGTCCAGGCGAATACCAGACGAAATCAAAGCCATCATTTTTCTCCGATGACCTTCGTCGCTTGTCAATAAGTCCGGCCCCCAGCGCACGACTATCGCCAGTCCCTCATGGACCGTACGTTCCGACGGGAGTGTATCAGTCTCCCTCCGAAGCGTCGTCGTCTCGGCTGAAGCAGTTTTGGATAAGGAACAAGCCATCCATCCTCGTCGCCGTCTCCCAGTTCTTCGGGGCTTTGATGAACCTCAGCGCTCGACTGCTGGAGCTGGACGGCGATGGCATACACCCGGTGCAGGTCCTTCTCCTCCGACAAGGGCTCACGTCACTCTGCTGCTTCGTGTATATGTGGTGGAAGAATGTCCCCGACTTCCCTTTCGGTAAGAGGGAAATCAGATGGCTCTTGATGCTGCGAGGCTTTTCGGGCTTCTTTGGCATATACGGCATGTGGTACTCGATGATGTACCTGCCACTCGCCGATGCCACCGTGATTACCTTCCTGGCTCCTGGAGTAGCTGGCCTGTTGTGCTACTTTGCCCTCCGCGAGCCCTTTACGAAAGCCGAGCAAATCGCCACTCTCGTAGCCCTTCTGGGCGTCGTCCTCATTGCCCGGCCGGTGTCCTTGTTCATGGGCCTCTCTTCGTCCAAAGATCAAGTGGTCGACGCTCCCGAGCAGTTGGACGGGGCTTTGCCCGGCCTTGAGGATGATGAGCCCACCGCCGAGCAACGACTGCTCGCCGTCGGCGTTGCGCTTCTCGGCGTCTTGGGAGGTGCTGTTGCGTTCACGACCATCCGTTCCATTGGCAAACGTGCCCATCCCTTGATTTCGGTCAACTACTTCGGCATGGCGTGCACCATCATCTGCGTGCTCGTCCTGGTCCTCGCGCCGGCTCTGGACATTGGCCAGCCCTACCTGAGGTGGATCACGCCAACGTCGTGGAAGGGCTGGTTTCTGCTCCTCTCGATCGCAGTGCCCGGCTTCATCATGCAGTACCTCCTGACTTCGGGGCTGGCGGCCGACACGTCCAACAGGGCGAATGCCATGATCTACACGCACATGCTGTTCGCAGTGAGCTTCGACCGGTGGATATTCGGCCACAGCATGGACGTGATGAGCTTCGCTGGGTGCGCACTCATCCTGGGCAGTGCCATCACCGTCGTTTTGACGAAGAAGCCGCCTGCTAAGACGGTTAATGATATCGAGAGACTTGAGAATGTAGAGGGAGAGGCAGAAGGGTCTCCCATGCTTGTCGATACAGGAGGAAATGGTGAAGGGATAGACGCCAGGAGGACCTGAACCTGCATGACATTGTAGAGTTGATAAGTTAGATGGTTGATGATGTAGACATGTGTTTTCAGCAAGTCTGATAGCGTTTGAGAAAATCTAGAAATTCTCTGGTCATTAATATCTCCTTTGGCCCAGCCGTAGTGTTCAATGTAGTGTTCAATGTCATCAGACTCGAGTAGAAGCGAGCAGAATCTTGCACGAAAAGAAAGCGATACGAAGAGTGAAACCCAAAGTAAACACTCAAAACCGGTGATCAAACCCAAAGCTCCAGGGTAGGCCGTTTGCGAGCGTCCACGATCACGTGCAGCGAGCTGGAGCTAACGAGTCGCGACCGCCGCGCTTGGTGACTTCAACAGCTGCAGGGTTGCGACTCAGATCGCAAAATTTCAAGATCATCAATCCTCTCCCTCAACGATTTCGCCCTTGTTTCCCCCGGATATGCGATAAAAGAATCATCAAGTCGAAGACGTTCTCAGCCAAGTCGAAGGAAAATAGACTCTGACTTCTCATCAATTCTTTTTCTGACACCATTGAATCCTCGGGAAACGCAGCCAAGATGGTGCAAATCAGCGAGGTCAAGGGCAACAAACGCGATAACCGCACCGCAGCCCATACGCACATCAAAGGCCTGGGGCTGAAGGCCGATGGATACGCTGATACACAGGCGGCTGGCTTTGTCGGCCAGGTCCCTGCACGAGAAGTAAGCAATTTCTACATACGTTGTTAGTTGATTCCTCTTTCTGGGGCTCAGCCTGCTAATGTTGGCTCTCTTCTGCTCGGATCTCTAGTCATGCGGTGTCGTCGTCGATCTGATTCGAGCTCACAAAATGGCCGGCCGAGGCGTCCTGCTAGCTGGCGGTCCCGGAACCGGAAAGACGGCTCTGGCCCTCGCGATTAGCCAGGAACTGGGGACCAAGATTCCCTTCTGCCCCATCGTCGGCAGTGAAATCTACTCGTCAGAAGTCAAGAAGACCGAGGTCTTGATGGAGAACTTCCGGAGAGCAATCGGGCTCAAGGTCCGGGAAACGAAGGAGGTCTACGAGGGCGAGGTGACTGAGCTTACACCGGAGGAGGCGGAGAATCCGTTGGGCGGCTACGGAAAGACCATCAGCACACTGCTCATTGGACTGAAGAGTGCCAAGGGCCAGAAGAAGCTTCGGCTGGATCCCAGCATCTACGAGGCCATCCAGAAGGAGAGGGTCACCGTCGGCGACGTCATCTATATCGAGGCGAACACGGGTGCTTGCAAGCGAGTGGGACGATCCGATGCGTATGCCACCGAGTTCGATCTCGAGGCCGAAGAGTACGTGCCCATCCCCAAGGGCGATGTGCACAAGAAAAAGGAGATTGTGCAGGACGTCACATTGCACGACCTCGACGTTGCAAACGCTCGGCCGCAGGGAGGGCAAGATATCATGAGCATGATGGGCCAGCTGCTGAAACCCAAGATGACGGAAATCACGGACAAACTACGTGCCGAGATCAACAAGGTTGTTGGCAAATACATTGACCAGGGCGTGGCTGAGTTGGTCCCCGGTGTCCTGTTCATCGACGAGGTAAAACATTTTCCCTGTTTCTGTTGCGTGGAGAGAGAAGAGAATTGGAGGAGCGTGGAAGAAGACGCACTGGGCTGGCATCAGACACTGACACGGGACTGTACTAGGCTCACATGCTCGACATCGAGTGCTTCACCTACCTGAACCGCGCCTTGGAATCACATCTCGCCCCCATTGTCGTCCTGGCATCGAACCGCGGAATGTCGACAATAAGAGGCACCGACGACGTTGTCGCGGCCCATGGCATTCCTCCCGACTTCCTAGCGCGCATGCTCATCATACCCACCTCTCCATACTCGGCAGAAGAGATCAAGAAGATTGTCAAGCTGCGGGCCACGACGGAGGGTGTGGCTATCACCGATGCGGCCATTGACAAGATTTCCGAGCACGGTGTCCGCGTCAGCCTGAGATACTGCCTGCAGCTGCTGACCCCTTCAAGGTGAGTCCTCATGAGCACACAGTGAATGAGGCCAAACAAAAAGGTTTCTCGCATGAGACACAGAGAGCTGACGTGTTTGATGCCAACAACAGCATTCTTGCCAAGGCGAATGGCCGTACTCAGATTGACGTGCAGGACGTGGCCGAGTGCGAAGATCTGTTTCTGGACGCCCGCCGCAGCGCATCGCTACTTGCTAGTGAAGCGGGACGAGGCTATCTGTGACCTTGATTTCGAGAAGCCGTAGACGGGTAGGAGTAGATCCGGTAAAGGAGGGGGGGAGGATGGGAGGGATCAGGAGTCTCATTGTAAAGGACGATGCTGGGCGGTGTGCCAATAATGCCACTGATTTATACTATAGGTCAAGGACGGGATTCAGAAGAGACTCCAAGACACTTTGTGTTCTTCTTCTTCTGATTTGGTTTTTTTTCTTTTCTCTCACGCGATGTACCGGAGTATCAGCACCGGGCGTGCTAGGCAGCCCTGAGAAAATCACTGGACTTGGGTGAAAGTTATTCGAAATGGCGGGCAAGCCATGTCTCTGAATGGCTCTGCCAACGTTACATGGATTGTCCTGCCTTGCTTCTACAACAGTGTCAGCCTCCCTTACGCCGCACGCCCAACTGTCCGAGACATCGTGGGCCTTTAGGGGGGAAGGGGATAAGAAAGCGAGCCCGCGTGTGGAGAACGAGACGCTGAAGACTGGGAGCTTATGATTCGTGCTCCACCTCCTTTCCTCTTTGTTTGTTTCGCTTCTCTTTGGGGCCTTTTGTTTTCTCTTTCGAAAAAGGTCGGGGGCGTGAAGGTTGTCAGGAAGTCGATGCAAATGTCTTAGCGGGCAATACGAACTGGAGGAACGGCACGTCGTGGCTGCAAGTGACTGATGGGTGCGGCTTTGTACCACGCGGGAAAGACGGAGAACAGAGGCGGCCGAGTCGGAAACAAAAGGAGGACGACGACAACGTTCAACTCAGAACGCGGGCTTAGCACGTGTGATTGGAAGCCCTTGGCGCACTTTCGCCCAGCCCATGAATCATCGTCTTTGTCTCTGGACTAGCATTCCAGAGGGCAGATGGTGCGCATTCCAAAGACGGCATTGTCCGTCTTTGGGTGAGGTCGGAAGGGGGTTAGGGGAGGAAAGAGAAGAGAGTGAGGGAGGGGAAGTGAGAAGGGGGTGTGGTCATAGAATACAGAGAGAAGACAAGAAAGAAGATCGTCAAGCTTAAATTCGGCCTGGCAGATTTCAAGGAGAGTTTGGATTGTTTGACAAGCGAATCAGCGAGGCCATTGTCAGATGAAGAATGTTCTAGGGCCGAGAGCTCTTAGAGGAAGGGCGACGGAGCGTCAAGATAGGTGGTGATTGATCCACGAAACAAAGGATCCTGTAGCTGCCTCTGCCTTACAGTCCTTGATGTAAGGTAGTCGGGGTTATCGTCGCAAAGACCGTGTGCGGACGTGCGCGCCGATGTGTTGCGCGAAGCGATGTCGATTGTGTGAAAACTCAAACTCCTGCTTTCCCCCCCCTTTCCTCTCTCTCATTCATTTCCTTTTGTTTCTTTCTGGCGTTCTTGTTGCAAGCTGGCCATTGCCGGGGACGACCAGATCCCGCTCCTTCGCATGATTGTAAATGAGGTAGTGGGAGGGAAGAAAACAAAGTAACAAACAGGCCGGTTGGGTTTGGCGAGTGCAAACGGACCAAGAAGGCTTTCATGTTCGCAGCCACTGCCGCTCACATCCCGTCACTCCTTCTACCCGTTTCCCATTCCACTGTTGCATCTCGATCGATCATTTTCCTGCAGAATCGCCCTGATTCTCAGGGCTATTTCAAGCCATCTGGACACGCGGGCCTCCTCGTGTGGTCGCCTTGCTCCTCGACATAGGTAGGCGGAGCCATCGACTGGTCTCCAGGCTTTCTCCAAGTCTCCGATCGAGACATATGTTTTGAGACATGCAGGGTTGCCTTTCTGCCCACTCATCATAGAGTATCAATCCAGTGGCGGCTGTCGACGGCAAAGAACAGCGCCATTGTGAATGGCATCTTCCCACATCCACAAACGCACCCCAGTCTGTTAAGCTCCTCCCGTTTCTTCTCAAACATCTTTTGTTGCTCCCTTCTCTCGCCTCTTGCCCTAAAGTCTCAAGATTCTCATCCCGCCTCTTTACCTTATTGTTTTCCTGTGCAAACAACCTAAGCTTCCCTAGGTTTCTGCATGCTCCCTTGATGCATTGTTGTTCAGGACCGCTAAACCCAAATCACCCCTACACCAGGCTCAGCGGCTGTTTGATCAAGGGAATCCTCCTTGGTTTAGAAATCCCCATCCACCACATCCTCCATTGTGTTCCAGCTCTCGCGCGTGGCACGTCTTTTGTCATCTGCACCCGCCATAGTTATGGCCCAGAGCAGCAGCAGTGCCCAAGCAGCGTCCGAGAGCTTGCAATACACCCCGAACTTCCCAGGACGACACTTTGAAGCTGAACGCGACTTTCCCAAACAACCAGGCTTTGCATCTCTACATCCTCACACTCGCCCCGGCGGGGTGGGTGGAATCGAAACGCCCAAGGCAACAGTTGAAGACCGACGGGACTCCAAGATGTTTGTAGGGCAAAGCACACTTACGCCCCGCTACCCTTCCAACCCCAATACGGCCGGGCGGAGAGGGATCCAGTCGATGGCTCTCACGTCCATTGTCTGCGAGGATAACCCCTTTGACCAGAATAGGAAGAACGATAGGCCTCATGCAATGTTTAGAGACTCGCACCAGTATTCGGATGGCACGACACAGCATACCGATATGGCTTTTCGCGGAGACCCAGATAAGAATTGGAGAAGCGGTCCTGGTGAAGCGATGAGAAACTCGTATAATACTCCAAGTCCTATAGGACGGTATACGGGTATGGCTCCAGCCCACCCTCGCATGAGCTTCTGTGATGAGACGATTCCGGGGGACGGCTTCGATCCAGCTGTCGGCGCGAATGGCTCAAGGAGAATATCTGTACCTCCTGGCGTAGTCAGCGCGAACGACGACGCCTCGAGGTTCAGCGCCTCAGCCACGATGTACCCATACGATGGCGGAGACTATCCTTGTCGCTGCACGCCGGAGCCCCCTAGGCCCCGAAATAGTGAGTTGACGTCCTTCTCGTTGAATTTGAAGGCTTTGAAGCCGATGCTCAGCGGTATGAGCTGGTATCTGCAACTACTGTTGCTCAACGGAGTTGCCGAATCCCTTTGCTGACGGAAACGCCCTCATCGTAGGCTTCATGTTGTTCCGGCAGCATCATCAACGGGAGGTGGCAAAGGCACACAAGGGCCTTTCCAACCCTGACATCTCCAAGATCATCGGAGCCATGTGGAGAGACGCATCGGACGATGTGCGTGAGAAATGGACGCTACGGGCTGAAGAGGAGAAGGAAAGCCACGGGGCCAAATATCCAGGCTATCGGTATAAGCCGAACCGCAGATCCAAGTCTCAGGGGAAGCAAAACCGGCGGTGCTCCAAGTGCGGTGGTCGACTTAATGCAACCGCACGAGTCCAAGAGTCTCCAGAGTCCCCAAAGTCCCCAGTCTCCCCGAAATCTTCGCGGTCCTCGCAGTCTTCACGAACACCACGAGCATTACGAGGACCTCGAGGGCAACATACGCCACAAATCTCCAGATCCTCGAGAGCCTCGACCCCATCCGCAACCTCGCCCGTGAGCTCGTTCGCAACTGGCCATGGAATTTGGGAGCCGAATCGGAGGATATCGCTCAACATGTCGAATGTCGGCGTCCATCGCCAAACAAGCATCACGCCGCCGTCTCTCTCTAGACCCGTCATGCCCGATCCTGCGTCTTGGCCGAGATCAGACGGCTTTCAACTCTCTCCTCTGCCGCCGCTCCCTTGTCAGCAGGGCACAGACTTGCGACGTGACTCTCTCTTTGGGAACCCTCCGCGTCTTCCAGCGGTCGAGCCACCGTTGCCATCGACGCCCCTTTATGCTCATCTTGCGGGCTACAAGATCCACAGCGGTGACGATAAGTCATGAAAGCTTTGCCAGCTGTTCCTATGGTGTTTTGGAGGGTTCAAGGTCAAGAGCGGGAAATGGGGAAGTAACTATAAACTTGTCAGTATTTCTTGTCAAATAGCTTTACTCTGAGTACATGTAGAGTAGAAGAATGGATCAGGAGCTTGGGAGAGTGCTGCTCGCGAGAGCGTTTACATACGGTATACTTGAATACAAGGAAGTCGCCTACCTGTGCCACGATAGACATTGCCTTGGGTGCAAGGCCATTTCGTGCACTCAGCCCTCTCTGGCGGATTCCCAATTCGGACGGCGTTGAGACTAGGTCGTTTGGCTAGAATTGCTCATGACTGTGAAAGGGTGTAAAAGCCATAAGCAATCTAGAGAGGTATTTGCTGCTTGCACAATCACGCTGGCGCATCGTCGGCAACATAATGATGAAGATGGAGGATGTTCTAAAAGGAAGCAAGAAGAAAGAGGGATTAAAGATGTAGTAGTACATGTACCTACCGTAGGTACCCAGTTAAACAAGAAGATTGCTGAGGGAAGGCGCAGTCAACCTCTTTCTTGCCTTCTCGCGTTGTTCATCTTGAGGAAAGTGCGATGTATTCTAGCTTTGCTCGAACACGTCTATTTTGACCTCTTGGTGATCTATTTTGATTCATTTATTCTCCGGGTTTCAAGAAGCTGTAAGGTGCTATATCTCAAGGTAGTTAAGAAGTACAACGCCGACTTGTGCAACTTGGAAGCCTTTTGTCATCTTGAACAGTCTGGCGGTGATGAAAAGGGCCTTGCCTTTGTCCTTAAGAGGTACATACCTAGGGTCGCAAAAGGATGATGGATTTAGTAGCGCATTTACAGGTAACCTGCAGTACCTCTGTATCGGTGCTAGTGGGTATCGGTACTTGGAGCTCGCTCCTTGCGTCTTGCAGAGAGCCAATAGCGCATGCGCATGCTGCATTTTAGCGGCTTGACAGTTCGCAGAGCTTCCTGAGCAATGCGCAAGCGAAGGGGCAGCTCCCTCAGCGCAGGTACCGGTACCGGCACTGCAAGTACCGAACCTCCCTGCTCTTGTTTCTCTCATCCAACGCGACTTTGCTCGTCTCCTCCACTTCTGACCTTACAATCTGTATTGCTTAATACCTCTGCTCTGCTTCTGCTTCTGCTTCTGCTTCTGTTCCCCGGCCGGCTCCCTATACCTACATCTTTTCAACCTCCTCGCTCTAGGGACGGAGGACCCTCTCTCAGAGAAGCAGAGGCAATCGCAGCTATATCACCAGCGAAACAAACGAGCGCCCACACCTCGCCGACCGCGAAATCTCACCATGCAACATATCCCCTCTGAGCTGTCGTCATAATGCCGGACTTCAAGCCTGGGCAAACCGTCCTGCTCAACGATGGCCGCAAGGCTATTGTGCGGTTCGCGGGCCCGACTCACTTCCAGGTGGGCGAATGGATCGGCGTCGAGCTCGAGGAGAAGACGGGCAAAAACGATGGAAGCGTCCAGGGCGAGCGCTACTTCGACTGCCCCATGGGCTACGGCATGTTCGTCAAGCCCATGATGGCCACAATCATCGCGCAACCGGCCGCGCCAAAGCCAGCGGCAGCAGCAGCAGCGGCGAGGAAGCCGGGCGCCAGACCGCCCGGATTCCATCCCACCGTGGGCAGGGCGTCTGTTTCTGGCGCCGAGGCCAGTCTCAATAGGAGGAGGAGCATCAACGCGCCCAGCCCCAGCCCGGTGCCTCACCACAAGCCGTCGCAGTCGTCGAGCAACCTGCGGGTAAGTTGGAGCGCCCCTGATCGCATGTCCTTTCGTATTAACCCGTGAAAACTAAGTCGCCCTCCAAATCTCCCACCAAGCAGCTTAGCAGTTCGTCCAGTGCTAGCGCGTCTCGAACGACGACACCTTCGACCGTCCGGGTGCCGTCTGCCACAGGCAAGCCTCGCACCAACTTGTCGGCGTCGCGCACGTCCATGGGGCCTCCCCCTCCTCCTCAGACCGGGCAGCGATCGGCAATGCGACAGCCGTCGATATCGTCACTCAGATCCGGTAGCGCCCCGACCAAGTCCATTGGCGGGCGCGGCGGTATCGCGGCCCCTCGGGCAGTGTCGCGCCCCGAATCCGGTCGCCGTACCTCTGTCAGCTCCCAAGGAGGGCGGGACTCAAGCTCGGCCACCAGATCCGACGAGATGCTGAGTTCCCCCATCGAGGCCGAGGAGGATGAGATACTCTCGCCACAGCCAACAAGCCCGGTCGCCGGGAGGGCGAATGCGCTGGAGAGAATTGCGGCAGCATCAAACGTAGGCTCTTCAGCAGCTGCGAAGGGGAAGCCGGGCGCGCCTGGCTCGTCGCGGTCTTCTATGGGCAGCACCGCAGCGAGCAGGGAAATCGAAGATCTCAAGGCCAAACTGAAGGTCCTGGAACGGAAACGAGCCGAGGACCGGGACAAACTGAAGCAGCTGGAAACCATTCAAGGGGAAAGAGACAAGTTCGAAGGCATCATTCAGAAGCTGCAGCAGAAGTATCAGCCCATCCAGCAAGAGAATACGGACCTGAGAAAAGCACTGAAGGAGGCCGAGACAAGATTCGACTCGATTGAAGCCCTTCAGGCAGAGCACGACACCGCTCTGGAGCTGGCGACCTTGGATCGGGAAATGGCTGAAGAGACCTCCGAAGTCTTGAAAATCGAGGTGGATGCTCTCAAGGAAAAGCTCGAAGAACTGCAATTGGAGCTCGAGATTGTCAAGGAAGAAAACGCCGAGTACAGCAAAGGCATGACTCCGGAAGAGCGCGCCAGCACGGGTTGGCTGCAAATGGAGCGTACCAATGAGCGACTACGAGAGGCGCTGCTACGACTGCGGGATCTTACTCAAGAGCAGGAGCAGGAGCTCCGAGACCAGATTGCGAGCATGGAGGAGGAGCTTAAGGAGTTCAATGCCCTTAAAGAGGAACACACCACGGCCAAGGAGAAGCTAGCTCAATCCGAGTCTGCTGTGGAGGACTTGCGGCAGCAGCTTGATACCGCGCTGGGTGCCGAGGACATGATTGAGGACTTGACGGAAAGGAACATGAGCATGTCCGAGCAAATCGAGGAGCTTAAGGCGGTCATTGAAGACTTGGAGAACCTCAAAGAGATCAACGACGAGCTCGAGATCAACCACGTCCAAAACGAAAAGGAGATGCAAGAGGAACTTGACTTCAGAGACAGTGTCATTGCAGAGCAAGCCCGACGAGCGCAGCAGCAGGACGCAGCTCTGGGAGACATGGAATACACCCTGTCACGATTCCGAGAGCTCGTCACCAACCTGCAGAGCGATCTGGACGACATGCGAGCATCGCAGGCTGTCACCGAGGGCGAGTCCGAGAAGCTCAACGACCGCTCGAGGGCCATGATGGACCTGAACATGAAGCTCCAGATCTCGGCCTCCAAGGCCCAGGTCAAGACGATTGACCTCGAGCTGCGACGACTCGAAGCGCAAGAGGCGGAGCAGCACCTGGGCATTGTCAAGCTGTTCCTCCCCGACAGCTACCGAGACGACCAGGACTCTGTTCTTGCTCTGCTGCGCTTCCGCCGCTTGGCCTTCAAGGCAAACCTCCTAAATGGATTCATTCGGGAACGGGTCAACGGACAACCCGAACCGGGCCACGAAGACGACGTTCTCGCCGGCTGTGACGCCATTGACAAGCTTGTTTGGGTTTCTGCCATGTGCGATCGCTTCGTCAACGACATCAGCCACTGCTCGATCGAACAGTTCACCAAGTACCAGAACTCTCTGCTGGAGCTGGAGCCTGTCGAGCGTGCGCTGAACACCTGGATCGATGGCCTGCGGCGGGATGAACTCAAGGAGCAGAAGTGCGCCGACGAGCTCCAGCGCACCATTTCGCTCATGTCACATCTGGGAGAAGTACACATTTCCAGCGGCATCGCTGCCTTTGCTGACGACATGCACATGAAGACCCTGGTTATCCAGAGCCACCTCGACTCCGCGACTGTCGCCTTCAACGTGATCCGAAGCATGGTGCAGCGGGCTATTCCGACGGCGGGCGAAGAGGAAGAGCTAGCACAGCACTTTGCCAAGAAGATTGATCTCGCCATCACGCAAACGAGGAGCACCAAGGTCTTTGCCGGAAAGGCGGTTCGTGCGCTGGAGGACCTCAAGGCGCGGTCGCTCTCGCTGGGTGAGGACACCAGGGGCGCTTTTGAACAATGCGAGGCCTTGACGCAGGAGCTTGCACGACTCACGCGCCAGATTGGCCTTGGCATCCATAAGCTGCTCACCCAGGACGAGGGCCGAAACGAGCCGTTCACCTACGAAGAGGTCAACGAGGCCGTCCGCCAAGCTGTTCTTGAGGCCACCCAGACCAACGAGTCGGACCTCTTCTCCAGCTACCTCAACAAACTCAAGTCGGCCAGTGAACAGATTTCTGACTTGGCAACGCTTGCCGCCGACCTGGACCAGACGCACGACTTTGATCTCCCCCCATCCCCTTGGCGTCTTCGTGCCCAGGAGCTCAGGATCCTCAAGACGGTCCCTGTGGACACGGAAGAGGAGCTCAGAAGACTCAAGGCTGAGCACAGCGAGGTCCGCCGGACGATTGCGCAGAGGGACGAGCAACTCAGCACAGCCGTTCTCAAGATTGAGACGCTCGAGTCGCGGATGCGCGATGCCCAGGCCAACGTCGAGCGCATCTCCAGCCTGCAGTCCGAGCTTGAGGATGTCAATAGTCATGTGGCAAGCCTCAAGGAAGACATTGAGAAGCAAGACCGAGAGCTCAAGAACCTGGAGTCGGAGCGAGACAAGTGGAAGAAGATTGCCAGCGACAGCAGGGCGTACGCTGACGGCGCCGACGCTGCGGACATGAAGGCCGGCCAGGAGCGGGCTGTTGCCACGGCGCGCGAAATGGATGCACTCAAGAAGGACATTGAGAGCCTGCAGGCGGCAGTCCGGTACCTGCGCGACGACAATCGCCGTGCGCGCTTGAAGGAGCAGCAGGACTACGAGTGGCTCTCGGAGCCCCTGAAGAAGGAGGCTAGTCCGGAGCAGCAGCGCAAGGCCCTGGTGGTTGCCGAGGGCAAGGACGTGCTCGGGGAACTCCTCAAGCTGGCCACGTCGGCCACGGTCTTTGATCTGAGCGCCGCACCCAAGCAGAAACTGGCCTGGAGGCCTGCGCGAACGACGCCTCAGTACCACGCAGCGAAGCAGACGGAAGAGTTCGAGGCCTGGAGGACGTGGCAGGAGTCGGTGCTCAAGAAGACGGACATGCTCCTTGTCCAGGACCGCACCGCCAGCCTCGGCAGGGAGAAGCAGGCCGGCACGAAGCGAGAGGTTGCGGCCCGGCTGAGGATCAGGCTGCCCCGCGATGGCAAGGCGGCGACGACGTACGCGGGAGACAAGGTGCAGATTGTCGGGTCGCAGGAGTGGGACGCCTTGCAGGCTGCTACGAGGAAGTTTGCCGTTGTATGATGAATGAAGTCCTAACGATACAAAAGTCACGTGTACGAAGCAAAAAAGAAACGAACTTTGTTGTCTCCTCCGATGAAACCCTTTTCCCATGGTTTTTTTTCCGCTGGTTTCTTTTTTGATCTGTTGGGGGTTGTGTGGGTGTGGATGAGGGGAGGATGGAAGGTTCTGTACCCCCCCTCCATGTTTGCTCAGCGGTACACTTTTTGAGGGTTGCTGTTTTGGTGTTGAATTTTGTATGTATGGTTATGTCGTGTGCCATAGAAGACGCTGAGATTTTGTTGCCTTGGCGTTGGAGATTGGAAGATGCGAAATCAGCGATTGAGCGAATGAGCGAGTGCGGGAAGAGTCATGGAATATAGGGGTTACGGGACGGGGGAGGTGTATTTGTGACGGAATAGATGCCCATGACATGGGACTCCTTTCAGCGACTTTTAAGAAACTGGCGTCATCGTGTGTATATTCTTTGAGAGGGCCATGTATGTAACGTGTAATATCTTTTGTGAGAAGCAGCCTCATGATGCTGACAGCTCCACGTCCTGTTCCTGTTCCTGAGGCAGCTCTCGGGCCCTTTGAGCTCCCTCCCCTTACTCAACATGTACCGAAAGAACTCATGTTTTCTTGTATCATTAAGGATTCGCCCCATCCCTCCAAGAAAAAAAAAGAAGAAAGAAAGAACATCGTACACAAATCTGCGGCTCTCTACTCTATTCCCCCCCATATCAGGGTATATCTATCACTTCCCCCCCCCCTCCCTCCCCATCCCCATCCCCTCAATGGCAACCACCCCCAAATCCCATCGCATCAATCAATCATCAAGCCTTCCCCTTGCCCTTCTTATCCTTCTTCTTCTTCTTCGCCCCGTCCTCCTCCGCAGCACCGCCGCCGCCCATCATCCCACCACCACCAGCCTGACTCGCCATCAGCGCCGCCATCGGATCCGCCCCGCCCTGCATCTCCTTCATCATGTCCTTGAACAAATTCTCCGACACGCCGCCCCCCGTCATCGCCGCGCTCAGGTACGGCAGGTACTCGCCCATCTTCCAGCCCCGCGGCACCGCCGGCCTCGGGTACGGCTTCCCCTCGGGCGGCTGGACCTGGCCGCCGAAGCGCAGCCGCAGGCCCGGCGAGTCCTCCGTCGTCGGGTTCTCCTGCAGGTGCTTGGCGACGAGCACGTACAGGTGGTGCTTGTTCTTGATGCTGACGCCGCCAGAGTTGTTCTTCTTCAGGCCGACCTTGACGCGGCCCGGGTTCGCCCAGTCCTTGGGGTGGATCTTCTCCGGCTCGAGCAGCGTCTGCAGGCGCAGCCGGGAGCAGGCGTTTGCAATCTCGCGCGCGAGCGGGTTCTTGACGGCCAGGGCGGCGCTCACGCGGCGGCCCTCGGCGCGGGACCGCGACGCGTCGAAGTAGACGGGGTACAGGCACTGGAAGCTGTTGTAGGCGGAGCGGTCGGCCGTCGGCGGGAGGGTCGAGGTCTGCGGGCCTCCGGAGAGCGGGTTGAGCATCTGCTGCATCATCTGCGGGTTGGCGCCGCTCATGGCTGCTTGTAGGCGCTGGAAGTCGGCGTCATTGTTGGAGGAGGACTGCTGCTGCTGCTGCTGGCTGCCGGGGACGCGAGCGCGCAGGATGTCGGACTCTGAAAAGTCGTCGAGGTCGACTTCTTCGGGGTCCGAGATCATGTCGGGGTCGCTGTCGGAGACTTCTTCGACCCGTGGGTGGGACATGTTGGGCGGGGATGGTTTGTTGTTGCAATTGAGGTTGATAGAGAGGAAAGACGGAGGTGACGGTTTCACAAGGGGGAAAAATAAAAGGAGAAGTTCAGAGCCAGAGGAGAAAGGAGAGGAAGCTGGAGTTGTGGGTTATGAAGGTTGGACGTTGTTTGAGGCTGAATTTTGATAATGCTGGAGTTTATCTCAAGTTGCCAGATTCAGTGTGGGGTCGTTCGAGTCGAGGTGCCCGTTTGGTTTGGTGGGGTACCCGGTCGATACCTGTCTCAGCCACGAAGTGGGATGCGCACGTCAAGTACTGCTGCAGTATGCAGTATCCCAAGATGGACTTTATTCTCTGTGCAAAGAAGAGAACATTGAATGGTGTAAAGCAGTCTCTTGGACACTCTGGATTTGCTGTATACCGGCTACGTATCTAGACGCCGTCTCTCGGAATATCCCCATTCTCGGTAAAGACTGCCCGGCCTTCATGTACTCAATCTGTGTAGCCCATATCAGAATTCGTCTACTCCTTATTTCCCCCCAGCAATTCAACAACCCCAGTCCCAGTATCATTCTTGTAGTGCTCCCAATGCAGTGCGAACCGTTGACAAGGAAAAAGAACAACTCCCACCGGACTCTGTGTTTCTTGCAAAATAAACCGATTGCTTCCCATCAGACGCGTATTCTTAGATCTTAGACACGACGACAACTTCTTTCGGCTTGATTAAAAGACACCTTTATATTCCGTTCCCGGAGGATGGGCCTCCTCTGAGAATCTGCAATGAAAGTGTTGGCAGACGCCATTCCTGATGCTAGGGCACTGTCGAGTTGCATGTGAGCGCCAGTCTCGGAAATGGTAGAGCAAAGATAAAAAGGGTGGGTTTTCAACTTACATGGTGGCCATATATGCAGTCATCCGCTTCACAATACTGACCAGACGAGCAAGGGTTCTGGCGCGCCAAAACGGCAACCGCCTTCATTTCGTCATCGGTAATCTTATGGTCGTGAACAAACGAGCAAGTGTCCCTCTTGGCACAAGGGCCTCGGAGGTAGTGGTTGTTGCAAAGCTTGTCCTCTTTTCGCTTCTTGATCGCCTCGAGCACCTGGACATTGACCCGGATAGGCTCGTCGAGGCCGCGAGGGCCAGGGTTCCAATTCTGTGGCTGGCTCGGCGGAATCAGTATATAGTGTCCTTCCTGCTGCGAGCGCTGCGAGCCCCTATTCCGCGAAGTGTCCGATCCGCTGGTCTGCTTTCGTGCGAGCGGGAGCGTAATCTTGGGCGGTGGGCTGGCGGAGGCGATGCCGGCGTACGATACGACTGGCGTGCGAGTCTCTTTGGAGCTGGCGGTGCTAACGGCAGGGCTTGCCACGGGAGAAGAAGCCTCCTTTGCAACCGGTTGAGGCGCTGGAGCAGGTTGAGCAGCCTGAACTGGTTGGCCGCTGACTGATGAAATTGAGTGCTGACGAGGCGAGGAAATCTTGTCGAGAAGCTTGTCTTCGCGGAACAGCTCGTGCCCCAGTCTCTTTATGCTAACGTTGGTGGCCCGAAGGTCGGGCACCGTCGCGACGCCCTCGATGATGCTGATCCTCTGTCGAGTGGCCTCGCTCTGAAGGGTTTCGTCCAGGAAAGGGGCGTAGCCCGAGTCGTGCGAGATCCCCAGCAGGATATGCCGACAGTTGTGATTTCGCAGATGCCATCTGGCTGTTTCTGTATTGTGACACGCATTAATTCCTGCCAAGCTCTTCTTCCTCTTCTCCTCACCCGCAGCATACCTCTAATCTTGGAGTCGGCCCTCTCCTTTCCATGGCCGACATCGATGTAATCAAAACTGGCCTTGGCCTGGGTGAAGCCGAGCGTAAAGTCCTTGAGCAGGCTTGGATTGTCTAAGCAGCCATCTCGCTGCATGGCCTTGCCCAGGCCGGAGAGGTTGGCGACAACCTTGGCCACGATTTCAAGGTCCTCGGCATCCTCGCCGAAGATCTCGGCCACGGCAGATCGTAAGGCGTAGGCAGCCTTTTTGCCGCCCTCAAGGCCCTGTTTGATATATGTTTCTCGAAACTGTTCAAGGCAACAGTGAAAGAGCCGAGGGTTAGAGACGCCGCTCTGATGATGAGGAGGGCATAAGGAGTGAAACGTACCACAAGGCCATCGCCGTCTATCAAAACCATGACATAAGAATTGTGTTTCTGTAATGGAAGTACGCCATCAGTTACGCCAGGCTCTATGAAACGAGTGAAGAAGAAACCTCGACATACCTTGACCTTTTCGATTTCCTTCAACGTCCTCTCCTGCGTCCTCTCTTCCTGCTCTTCATAAAACTCGACAAGCTGCTGCAGCTCCCTGCCGGCATTTACCGCGTTGGCGAGGTCAATGTGCGCGCTGACCAGCCGCTGGCTCTCCTCGCGCAGGTCACTCTCGACCTGGTTGCAGTGTATCAAGAGGTCCCTGATGAGGTCGTCCATTGCATTTCTGTGGCTCTGCAGGCCCTGGAAGCGCTGGAAAAAATTGCCGAGGCCACTGGCGGCGACGCCCGAAGACACTTTCTCTGCCATGTTTTGCCCTTGATTCCCGAGCTTTTTACTATGATGATGGCCAAGTGCTGTAAGAGAGAGTATTTTTTGAATCTGATGGTCTCTTAATTTTGGTCCGTATCGGTTCCTTGTTTTTGTTTTTGGCGTCCTGAGATGGTGTTGATAATTGTCGATTTGCGTCAGGAAACGCTAGCGAGGGAAAAAAAAGGGAAGCTAAGGTTGGCGGAAAAGAGATTAGGAAGAAATAGGCCGTTAGGTATCAATTTCTCTGTCTGCTGAGCTGCCAGAGCTGTTGGTGACAGAACAAAGAAATGTGATAGAGCAAGGAAAGGAGAAATTGGAATGAAAAGAGAAGCAGAATAGAAGCCTGTTTGACACAAAACAATGGCAGTTATTGCAAAGGAAAAGAGGTGGCGGGACCCTTCTTGTCGATGGCCTTTTGTCTTTCTATTGTCCTATTTCCCCCCCCCTGCTCAAGTTGCGTGTTCGTTTCACGGCCAAAAAAGAAACTGCAAGTATCCGGTTTAGGCTGCGGCTGCGGGCTTTCGCTGTGGTAGCGCAGCTGCTGTCGATGCGTTTGCAAGTTGGGATGAGGAAAAAGAGGAGATGGAGATTGCGTACGAGAGAGTGTGGCGAGGCAGACAGCAGATCGGCCGGGCGCTTTTTATTCCCTTGGGTAGCTGCTGTGGTGGTGGTTTGATTGGAGTCTCTTGGCTCGTTTGTCTGGTTGGTTTAGGCGATGTGATCTGTTTGTTTGCTTTGCTGGCTGGTGTGTTTACTGACTGATGGCTTCGAATGGAGAGGGCAGAGCATTGGATTTATCAAGAAATGTCCAACATTGATTCTGAGCTTGAGGACTAAAACAAGTCCTCTAGATTTAATGAAGACTGAGGACCAAAACAAGTCCCTGGATTAAAACAAGTCCCCACGATTAAAATAAATCATCAGAATAAATCATCAAAATACAAAATTGAAAACAAATCATTAAAATAAAGAATTAAAACAAAGAATTAGAATAAATCCCCAAATCAAAACAACCTACACATAACTCGTATGACCCTTTTAACGAATCAACAAGCGACCGTTACCATACAGCGTTAAAAGAGATACCCTCAGCAGTCTAGCGCAGGCGGTTATTGATACCCTGGGCTCCTTCTTTTACCGATTGGCGCTGCCCCGCAGGGACTTGAATTGAGATGTGATGGATGAGGATTAAAATTGAACGTGCAATTCGAACATGACGTTGACACGGCCGCGGCCCAAGGCAGATTCTCTTTTTTTGTCTCTGGGTTGAGTCTGTACTCTTATTAACAGTAGGACTAAGGTAGTATGTAGTCCTTGAATACTGATACTACTTCTAAAATTAGTATCTTTGAGATTGATATGGAAATTCATGTTTCGTAGTTCTTTGTATTGCCCAACTCTCACAATGATGGGCTCGATACCACTTGGAATGCCTCCAGTTCGTAGCCTTTGTTCACTCCCCCACATCTTCGACATGAGACGAGGAAAGGAACTGGAAGCAAACGAGGACCATCTTCCAGACTTCTAGGCATCTCTCTCACAACTTCGCCGTCCTCGGGTTCCACAGCCCTTGTTCCCTCACTCCTCCACATCTTCAAGATCAGACAAACAAAGAAAAGCAAGCCAGAATCACCTTCCCAGTCTTCTAGACGTGTCTTCCACATAGTCGACATCAGACAGAGAGAAACATGGAAGCAAGTGAGAATCGTCCACCAGCGTTCTTTACATCTCTTCCAGACCTTTGCCTTCCATCAAACAGATCAGAGGCCTAAGAAGCGTTCGTTTGTCGTCTTAGAACTGAGCACCCAACCCGCTCCCTCAGCCCCGAGCAACCCCAGCAAAAGTCCCAAGACAAAGATCGTTCAATACCAATTTACATTCGTATGTGAGCTTGTTCCAGGCAACATGAGAATCCATTCTATAGCAACTTGTTTTCCCATGGGACAAGAAAACACCAAGTCAAGCACACTTCGAGTCCATTCTATAGCATCCTGACCCCCCTGAGACAGGAAAACAACCAAGCTCATCACCCGGTCCCGTCACCGGCTGGCTGATGCTGGTTAAGAAACTGCCACACCGTATCCTGTCCAAAGCCCCCCTCAAACTGCCACATGAACGAATCGCCGCTCAGCGGATCGAAATCCGTGGGCGGCACCAACACGTCGTCCTCCTGGTCCACCGTCAGATCCTTGTATATCAGGTCGCTCATCGCGAAGAAGGGCGCCAGCCCGGGGAAGCCGCTCCCGTCCTGTGGCATCTCCCATCCGCCGGGCATCATGCCTGGGAAGGCGGAGGACGATTCGTCTTGAGCAGCTGCTGCCGTTGCCGGTACTGGCAATAAGGGCTCCGGTGCAGCCTTGTTGTGGCTGCTGCCCTCCACTGAGCCCCTACCGCCAATCGATCCCTGGCCGACTGAGCTCGCAGGAGTCGATCCCAGCGTCCTCCCGGTCGTCGACAGCGGTGTGTCGGAGGAGTTGCGCAGAAAATCGACAGAAGTGCCCGTAGAAGACGGCGGCGGCGGCGCGCACTTTCCAATGGCTTTGACGAGCCTGGCGACGACGGCTCGGAGGACCCCGAGGGCCGATTTGGCCAAGAGATTCGTGTCCTTCATCGTGGCAAACCGCTCGACGGTCCAGTGGCAGTGCTGCATTACCAATTCTCGATACTCGGCGTTCTCGTACGGAAATAAGATGTAAATGGTGGCAAGCAGCGTAACGGCATCAAAGCTTCCGTAGAACAGATGCCAACTAGATGAAGCAAGTCAGTCAGCCAGTATTCTCCCATGGCTTCCAGTGATAACATACTTTTTCCACGATTTTGGTGGCAGCCCTACAAACAGCTGCCTCTGCATCTCCAGCATCCCGAGGCTGCCCTTGATCACCTCCACGCGACTTTCCTCCCGATGGAATATATAAGGCCGATGAAGCGCCACCAGCGTAAAATGGAACATCTGCTCACATAGGCACCTCGCCTGCGGGAGCCAATGCAAATCGGGCTCATTGTCCCACTGCCTGTCAGGGTTCTCTATCCGAAAGACGGCCGGCGTGTTGTCGTGGTTTTCCATGATCTTCTGCTGTACCTTGTGCACCTTTGAAAAGTCTCTGGGACACGGCCCTTCTGACTCGAGGTCCTGAATGTCCCGCAGCGGAATCATGGTCTTGTACAAGAACAGATTTCTCGTCAGCGGCGTTGGGGGATCGCGGCCTTCTTCTCTGGGGATGACGGGCGTCTTGGACCGGTCCGAGTTCATTGTGAACCGCGCGTCGATGGGAAGCGTTGGCATGCCGTGCCTCCAATCGAGAGCGCCTGGGCGGCCCAAGATGAGACACATGTGAATGTCCCTATAGACCATGGTTAGCCACGCCTGGACCCCCGTCTCGATGAGTGTGCGTACTCACCATGAAGCCAGCATCATGTACAAATGCCTCCTCTTCTCCACCTGCCACTGATTCAACAAGACGCTCTCCACATCGTTCGACGTCGGCTTTGGATCGAGCGCATCCCGATGCATGCCCAGCTCCTGCGCATCCCGTATCGTCTTGCCAACCTGATGCCACTAAATCTCCAATGTCAGCCTCAAATCCGACCCAACGACGCAAGGAGGGCCGACTACTAACCGATTCAGTCACATTGGCAGTATACTTTAAGAACCCCGCCCTCAGAAACCCAACCTGGATCGACGTCGTGCTGAGCGCCTTGGGCCCAAAGAGGTTGATAATGGCAATCCCCGTCTCGCTGTAGTCGCCCGCCAGGTCCTCAAACGTCATGTTGCCCGCGTACTTGAGCGACTCGAACGACTCGTGCAGCGCCTTGGGCAGCACCAGCATGGCCGTGGCAATCACCTCGAACAGCAGCGCGGGGAACACGCGCAGGTCGGGCGACAGCGCCTCGGGCCCCCGCGCGGACAGCACCTTGAACGGCAGGTTGGTCCACTGCTCGAGCAGCTCGCGGAAGGCCTGCGGCTCGACCAGGTAGTACTGCCAGTTGAACTCCTTGAAGAAGATGTCGGCCAGCTGGTCAATGTACATGCGCGCCGGCAGCAGCCGTATCAGGCCCTTGTACTTTTCCTTGAGGGCAAACGTCTCCTGGTACGACGCCCTCCCCGCCGCCGCCGCTCCCTCGTCGTCTCCCGCGCCGCCGCCCATCAGCCCGTCGTCGCCGTCCGAGGTGCTCGCCCGCTCAATCTTCTGCAGGAAGCTCAGCGTCGAGGCGCCCGTCTGGCCGTACCCCCACGACGGCGCCATGGACGACAGCGGCTCGGCCCTGGACGTCGGGGTGCCGCTGCCGTTGCTGCTGCCGTGGTGGTCGTCGCGGGACGAGTAGAGGCCGGCGTGCGTCTCGTGCTCGCGGGCGGTGGGCGCGCCGGCCTCGTAGGCGCAGTGGGCTTCCTTGTTTCTCGACCGGCAGTTGCCGCAGGGGAGCTCGCGGTCGCACTGTTAACGAGTACATTGTGTCAGAGTCGGTCTTTGTATCATCATCTTCATCTTGTGCAGAGGTGAGAAGTGCTGTTGCGCGATTGTCGTTTGCATCGCGAATAGCTTCATTTTTTGGGTGGTTTGGTGTTCGTGTAAGGCCCAACCTTTTGCTTCCTTCGATGGCACTCCGTGCACGAAATGACGATCCGTCTCCGCTTCTTAGTCGGGCCCCGCTCGGCCCGTACGTTGACGGCCACCTCAATGTCTGCCATGCCGCTGTTGATTCTTCTCGTCTTCTTCGTCTTCTTCTTTCTCTCGTAATCGGGGTTCGCTGTTCCGGAGGGGTGAATCTTCCGGCTCGGGTCTTGGAGGGCGGAGCGGGAGCGGCAGAGGCGATGGGGGTGAGGTGAGAGGAAGTAAGAATTGAGGGTCGGAAGGGAAAAGGATGCGGAACTGCGCACAAGCATCCGAGTCGAGCTTTTTGCGCCCGATTGGTATTGGAAATGCAGGTCGAACTGGGTGTGGAGACGCCCGGCGATGAAGAGGCTCCGCGTTAACTCCGGGTTGCCGATTACAATAACTTATCCGTGCTGCTACTGTACATACTTATACGCTGCAATGGTTACGAGGCTGTTGATGCACTTCATGGTATTATCATCAATCTTGATAGGGCCATTGCAATTGGAGAATGGATTGGCTATCATAGACGATCCACGATCCAGTCTTCCTTTCCGTCCAGCCGTCCATAGGTACATCCATTCAAATGCTTCACATGCAACCCACCAAAGGATCGACACAGACTATCACAAGATCCATTGGGCAAACCTTCACGTACCTTATGTACATATAGGAGATAATATCATCGACATTTGATCCTGAAATCCTACAAAAAGAAATATCCCCAAGATTGTTTGTTTCCCAAACTCGCAAAGCAAACCCGAAAAAAATACAATTCCAAACTTCCAGGTCCACCAGATATGTTAGGACTGGACCCTATGAGCCTTCAAATGTGCAGTTCGCCTCCACCAATCGTGTGTGTGTTGCATGCAGAATACATATCAAACGCAGCTGGGGCATCATCCGTCATCCCAACCAAGTAGGTAATAACAAAATCAAGAAGAAGATAAGAAAAAAAAAAAAAAAAAAAAGAGGTCGCCTAAATACAGCTGCATTGTATGATGCTGGGCTTTGGACAAGAGCTCTTCTCAGCTCCGATTCTCCTCCTCCCTTTCCCCCCTTGCTACTTTCTTTTTTTCTTTTCTTTTTTTGTTCGCTCCCCCTCTTCTCTATCGCAGTAGCCTCTCGGTGTAGGCCTTCCACGCCGCCGATCGATACCGCTCTGCCTCCTCCACGGGGTCTGACGCCTTGAGGATGCCTCTGCCCACAATGGCAATGTCGCTGCCGGCGATGCCAATCAGCTTATGCGGCGTGTTGTACTGCTGGCCCTGACCATCCCCTCCGACCGATCCGTTGGTCTGCTGGTCCTCGTCGTCGGGGGGCAGCTGGCAGCCGGGCGTCATGTGGATAAAGGCATCGTCGGGCTCGGTGTTGAGCGTCTCCTGCGAGATGAAGCCCATGACAAAGTCCTTGTGCTCCCGGGCGGCCTCGACGCAGGCCTGGGTGTACTCCTTGTTCATAAAGTTGCCCTGGCTGGACATCTGGGCGAGAATCAGGAGGCCGCGGTTGAGCGGCGCCTCCTCGATGCCCGGGAACAGCGACTCGTCGCCCTCGGCGATGGCCTTTGTTAACCGGGGCGAGGAGACGGACTCGTACTGCTGGGTGACGGTGGTGATGGAGACGATGCTCCCCTTGCGGCCGTCGCCGGACCGGTTCGAGTAGATGGGCTTCTCCAAGACCCCAATGGAGCCCAGGCCATTCACAGCGGCAGGCTCAGCGTCCTTGGCGTCGGCGGCATCGTCAAAGGAGTCCATGGTGGGCGTGCCGACGGTGACGGACGTCTTGACCTCGCAGGGGTAGCGCTCGAGCCAGCGCTTGGCGCCCTGGGCCAGCGAGGCCACCGACGCCTTGCCGGGCACCATGTTGACGTTGACAATGTGCGCCCAGTCGATGATGCGCGCCGACCCGCCCGTGTACTGCAGCTCGACGGTGTGGCCAATGTCGCCAAACTTGCGGTCCTCGAAGATGAGGAAGCCGTGCTTGCGCGCCAGCGACGCCAGCTGCGCGCCCGTGCCCGTCTCCGGGTGGAAGTCCCAGCCCGAGACCATGTCGTAGTGCGTCTTGAGCACGACAATCGACGGGCCAATCTTGTCGGCCAGGTACAGCAGCTCGCGCGCTGTCGGCACGTCGGCGCTCAGGCAGAGGTTGGACGCCTTGAGGTCCATCAGCTTGAACAGGTACGCCGTCAGCGGGTGCGTCGCCGTCTCGCTCCTGGCCGCGAAGGTCGTCTTGAGCGTCGGGTGTGGTGCCATGGCTGGTGAGGCTGAGAGAGGCTGAGGCTGCGGCTGCTGGATAGTTCAACCCTTAGGGTGGCCGCGGTGGCGGGGGAAAAAATGGAAAAGATGGCACAATTCTTGCTGGGAGGGTGACGTTGGAAGCGCGACAGCCGTGCGGGAAGAATGAGAACAGCCGGCGGGTTTTGTAGAATCTGTGAGATCTGAGTTGCCCTGAGGAGACGAATTGCTTTAATGTCGGGCTCGAATCCCCTGGTCAGATTATAGGGAGCAGCTCTGGGGAACGAGAGCAAAGCAGCAGTAATAGCAGTCGATGCTAGCGGAGCAGGCGATTCAATGCCGGCGGCGATACCCGATATTGCGACTTTGGGGGGTGGAAAAAAAAAAACCGGCGACCACCGAATTGGTCTCAGTGGGTGTTGACTGCGGGAGGTTTTGGTGGACCGGAGGAGACGAGAGGGTAGTAGTACTAAGGGAGACGAGGGAGGATATGAAGGAGGATGGAAGAGAGAGAGAGAGAGTAGAAGAGAAGGAGTCGAGAAAGAAAAAGAAAAGAAACTGAAACCAGGACAGAGGATGTCCGGTTCGGGTCGCTCAGCAGCCGGACGTGAAGCCCACCGGGTCCAGAAAGGGAGCTCGGTCAGTTGAGGAGCCCTAGAAAGACGGACGACAGCTGGCAAACGTGACCAACGCCACAAAAAAAAAAGGCGAGTCGTAAATAGTTGATTGAGCCGTATGAAGCAGAAAATGGTAGGCAAGGTAGGTGAAAGATACACAGACTGCCAAGTATGTAATACCCAATCAGACCTTTTTGTCAGCCAGAATGGAAAAGACAAGAAAAAGGAAGGCAAGTAGAGAAAAGGAGAAAGAAGGAGAGAGAAAAGATGGGATAAGAGAAGACAAAGAGTGACAAAGACTGAGCAACGAGAAAAGAGGCCTAGCAAGCTGGTTTGCTTGGCACTGCACTGCGGCGTTCCGATTGCCGCAGACGAGCAGGCAAGGCCAGCCAGATCCCAGTTCTCGAACCAAGCAAGCAAGGGCTTTTGCAATTTGGCGGCCGTGCCTGGAAGTGCCTGCAGCCGTGCAATGCAATGCAGTAAGTACCTGTGCTAGTAGAGGTACTAGTAGGATCAACGAGGCCCGGAATTGCTGGGGGAGGGAAGAGGGGGGGTCGATTCTGGTGCGAGCAGGGGTCTGGCGGTTTGTTGGAGACGGGACGAGGGCCAATGGGGGGGTCAGTCGATGAGAGGAGGAGGAGGAGAAGCAGTTGATACGAGCACTCTTCAAGCAGAGAGAAGTGACAAGAAACATGGAGCAAGCTGATGCTGCTCTCGAGGCTCAATGAGCGAGCAGGGGGGCGCTGGATGGAGATGCTTGATCCGAGCGTGAGCATCACGCACTGAAAGTGATGTGTTCGTTTGCACGTCCCGGGGGGTCCAAGCGCAGGCCGGGATGTCAAAAGGAGAAGCGCAAGAGAGGCGAGCTCGAGTCAATCCACGGCTAGCCCGTCACTTGGCGCCGTTTGTCGATGAGGCAGCATCATGCATGATGGCGCATCTGATATTGGCTCTTTGTGTGAGTCTCTAGTACGAGCATTCATGTAGTCTTCGTCTTCATTTTGAACCTCCATACCTAAGCTCTTCACTGGTTGTGAGTGGTTTTTGTTTGTGTGCGGCGCAACGATTTTCGTTGGGCCAGCATCCCAAGGGCCCCTAGGCTGAGGTCCAGCCCGGCGCTGCAGCTGAGCTAGAGCATCGAGCATGAATCTCGGGGTTCACATCACTAACGAACTGGAGCCTCCACGGCTAGTAATAACCGCTAACTAATAATGGCGGGGTTTGCTCTTTTTCATGCCGGGCTGCCATTCGACTTGGGGGAGTTGCCAGTTCAACATCATGCATTTAGTTGTTGATCCACCCCTTGATGTCGATACCACAGCTGCAGGTCGAGTCCAGCCCCAATCAGTATGTACTACTAGACTACTCATTCAGATCACTTGTGATGCTCACATGCTTGACGCCTTGGAGACTCAATAGTACATGTATCCAGCTTCAGCTGTGCCGGGGCATGACACGACATGGCCTGACATGTTGTTGCGCCATGCATGTGCCTGGAATCCAGCCGCGATGCCACCACCACCACCACCACCAACCGCCACCCGTCCTCGTTTGTATCTCCGTCACAACAGACAAGAGATGAAATACATACAGCCAAGACCCTGAGGCGTTCTCTCTCTGCTGGCTCTCGGCACCGCACGAGACCCGCCCTTAGCGACACGCTCGCATCAACATTCAATCTGGACCGCAGGCTAACAAGCGCCATGTCGCGGTAGTGCCACGGCTAAGCATCGCCCAACCTGGTGACTATTTTCAGCGCGGCGGGCAATCAATCTCGATGGGGGGGGTGGCTGCTGCTTGCTGAAGGTTTGCTTTTTTGTTTCGTTCTACGACATGCCGTGATCGGGGGGCTGCTTTGCTTTGCAGGAGGTCGAGGCTGCAAGTTGGCGCACGGCAGCTGGACAGCATCTCCCTCCCTAGACTACCTACCTTACCTATACCCAGAACTATTACTGACCTTACCTACCTACACTCTACTACTACTATACCTGAGGTTGATTCAAGCATACGCCTGCAATGTCTCGTACAAACACAACTGACTCGTTCAAGTCTGCAATATCAGCCCGCCTGAGTCCTCTTGACCGTCCGTGCGGAGCTCAAACCACTTGCTGCAAAGCTTGCGATTGGAGGACCATCACAAGCATCAAAGTCGTCCGCTACTACATGCTACTACCAGTAGTACTACCTTATTACTGGTCCTGTTCCTTCATGTTGGGCAGCCCTGTTGGCGTGCAGATGGCCGGCGATCCCCCCTTCAGGATGCCGGCAGTCCAGGGACTCTCTCGTCTTCTTTATACGATATTACAGGTAGTAGTTTCAACTGTTCGCGCCCACTTCCAGCCTAGCCTCGCGCCCCGAACTCGTACGAGAATGATGGAATCTCGAGATCCTCCGCTGCAATGCACGAGCCAGCCAGCCAGCCGACAAGACAAGCGCTCTCTCTCATGAACCCTTCCCTGTCCCATGTTGGTAACCCTACAGGATGCATCAGTGCTGACCTGTCTTTCATCTTGTCTTACCCGACCTGGCTGGCCTTGCGTCAAAAAAGTCCGATGCTAACACGGACAAGTACAAGCCCACAAAGAGGACGATACTGTACGAGTACAGTACAGAGTCAACAGAAACCCTGCATCTATAGAAGTAAAAGACAGGGACAAGGCCCTGATGAGTGCGCTAGTAGTTCAATGCTCGAGCCTTTTTTCCCCATGGCGTCTTATCCCGGCCGAGAACAACAAACATCCTGTTGGGGGCCAAGGCGGGATTGAACCCAAGAGGCCAAAGGGAAAACAAAGACGAAGTGAAAGACGAGGCGTCAGCGATCCCTCTACTCCATGGCCCCAAATGTCATTGCTGATGCGCTATTGCCACTACTACCACCTGATACAGCTCTCACAGATATCATGACAAAGTGTTGCTCCTATAGCGAGAACACATCCCCCCCCTCTCTTCCTTCTCCTCTCCTCTTCCCCGTCAAAACCAACAACACCAACGAAAATCCCAGCCAGCCATCGGCTAGTAATAACGCAAAGAAAGAAAAAAAAAAACTGGGCTCGAGCAACGACGCGGCCAAGTCGGCTTCTCTTCCGCAATTCCAACTACGTACTATCGCCAGAACCCCCCCAGCCCCTGTCACTGCCACTTGCCCTGGCCCTCTCCGAGTCGCCCTAGGTAGTAGTTTGGCATGCATGCATTTCCGTGGTGCAAAACTAGTTGTCAAAGAAGCGCGCATTTGTTTCCGGAGCCATCTCCCTCCCTCCCCGGAGTTTTTTCGATAGACGATTAGAGACGGCCGTTTCCCGCTTCGTTTGCAACTACCTATACTACCTAGTACGATGATTGATGTGCCTTTGATACCCTTACTTGTAGTAACGACATTGAGCTTCTCCCCAGCACTTGACTGGACATATAATCAGACGGCGCGAAAAAGTACCCAATACATCTTCCGTTCGCAATGTCCTCTTATCTGTGTCCTCCGTAGGGGAAGACGAGGGGAAAAAAGGGCAAAAGACTTGTTAACGCCACAAAAAGCCATCGACATGGGGGGAAACCGAGGAGAAAACCCCCAAAATCACCCCATCTTTTTATTCCCTCCCTTTTGTCTCCGGCAAATTGGGGAATTGGGGGAGGACCGCTGTCAACCAGCAAACCCCCCCCCCCCCCACCAGGCGAAAAACCGCCAAAAAAAGCCCTGCGCAAATTGACAGGTTTGACGTGGGCCTCTCTTTTTCTTTTCTCTCTCTCCTTTGACAGAAAGGAGAGAAGAGAGGACAACATTTCCCCCCCCACCTAAAAGAGGCGGCAGCCCATCCCATGAACCATGTCCGGCAAATTTGTAAATTACGACTCAATATGGTGAGAGTGAGATAGTAAAGAGAACCCAGCATCGCGGATAGCAGACGCGGGACCTGGGAGGGCACACTCCGAGAGAGATACGATATTGTTACAATACGGCTGCTACTACTAGCTACATACGGAGGACAAGGGACCGGGGGGAAGAAGGGGAACCAGGCCCTGCAAACAAAGGACCAACAAACTGAGAAAACATACGATGGTGCCTTTTTGCCTTGTGAGATGCCGGAGAGACGATTGCCCCTGGTCCCCGGTCCTTGTTCCCTTGTCCCCATGTCTTGCTCGCTACCGCCAGCTCGAAAACACTCCGCCTTTGGGTACGATACGCTGGTTAGGTTGATGATGGATTGCTAATAGGTGACATGGTGGACTCTTTGGAGGCAACGAATGCCTGGCAAGGTAATACTACTACTATGTACTATTTCGTATATATTCTGATACATGTCGGGCTTTGTAACGGGTCGATAAGACAAGTCAAACAAACCCTGCAGGCCACATTGTAACCACATCCAACAACGCAAACGGCCCAAAAGCCCTCCCAGCCAAATCAGC